ATTAGTCCACTAGTCTCAATTATTAAAACTTATAGCGTCGAATAACGATAAATAATCATAAAAAAGAGCTAGTTTTCACACACATTCTGGCACTACTCTTTTTTTAAATATTAGAAAAAGTAATTATTAGTCCACTAGTCTCAATTATTAAAACTTATGGCGTCGAATAACGATAAATAATCCTAAAAAAGAGCTAGTTTTCACACACATTCTGGCACTAATCTTTTTTTAAATTTTAGAAAAAGTAATTATTAGTCCACTAGTCTCAATTATTAAAACTTATAGCGTCGAATAACGATAAATAATCATAAAAAAGAGCTAGTTTTCACACACATTCTGGCACTACTCTTTTTTTAAATTTTAGAAAAAGTAATTATTAGTCCACTAGTCTCAATTATTAAAACTTATAGCGTCGAATAACGATAAATAATCATAAAAAAGAGCTAGTTTTCACACACATTCTGGCACTACTCTTTTTTTAAATTTTAGAAAAAGTAATTATTAGTCCACTAGTCTCAATTATTAAAACTTATAGCGTCGAATAACGATAAATAATCATAAAAAAGAGCTAGTTTTCACACACATTCTGGCACTACTCTTTTTTTAAATTTTAGAAAAAGTAATTATTAGTCCACTAGTCTCAATTATTAAAACTTATAGCGTCGAATAACGATAAATAATCATAAAAAAGAGCTAGTTTTCACACACATTCTGGCACTACTCTTTTTTTAAATTTTAGAAAAAGTAATTATTAGTCCACTAGTCTCAATTATTAAAACTTATAGCGTGAATAACGATAAATAATCATAAAAAAGAGCTAGTTTTCACACACATTCTGGCACTACTCTTTTTTTAAATTTTAGAAAAAGTAATTATTAGTCCACTAGTCTCAATTATTAAAACTTATAGCGTCGAATAACGATAAATAATCATAAAAAAGAGCTAGTTTTCACACACATTCTGGCACTACTCTTTTTTTAAATTTTAGAAAAAGTAATTATTAGTCCACTAGTCTCAATTATTAGAACTTATAGCGTCGAATAACGATAAATAATCATAAAAAAGAGCTAGTTTTCACACACATTCTGGCACTACTCTTTTTTTAAATTTTAGAAAAAGTAATTATTAGTCCACTAGTCTCAATTATTAAAACTTATAGCGTCGAATAACGATAAATAATCATAAAAAAGAGCTAGTTTTCACACACATTCTGGCACTACTCTTTTTTTAAATTTTAGAAAAAGTAATTATTAGTCCACTAGTCTCAATTATTAAAACTTATAGCGTCGAATAACGATAAATAATCATAAAAAAGAGCTAGTTTTCACACACATTCTGGCACTACTCTTTTTTTAAATTTTAGAAAAAGTAATTATTAGTCCACTAGTCTCAATTATTAAAACTTATAGCGTCGAATAACGATAAATAATCATAAAAAAGAGCTAGTTTTCACACACATTCTGGCACTACTCTTTTTTTAAATATTAGAAAAAGTAATTATTAGTCCACTAGTCTCAATTATTAAAACTTATGGCGTCGAATAACGATAAATAATCCTAAAAAAGAGCTAGTTTTCACACACATTCTGGCACTAATCTTTTTTTAAATTTTAGAAAAAGTAATTATTAGTCCACTAGTCTCAATTATTAAAACTTATAGCGTCGAATAACGATAAATAATCATAAAAAAGAGCTAGTTTTCACACACATTCTGGCACTACTCTTTTTTTAAATTTTAGAAAAAGTAATTATTAGTCCACTAGTCTCAATTATTAAAACTTATAGCGTCGAATAACGATAAATAATCATAAAAAAGAGCTAGTTTTCACACACATTCTGGCACTACTCTTTTTTTAAATTTTAGAAAAAGTAATTATTAGTCCACTAGTCTCAATTATTAAAACTTATAGCGTCGAATAACGATAAATAATCATAAAAAAGAGCTAGTTTTCACACACATTCTGGCACTACTCTTTTTTTAAATTTTAGAAAAAGTAATTATTAGTCCACTAGTCTCAATTATTAAAACTTATAGCGTCGAATAACGATAAATAATCATAAAAAAGAGCTAGTTTTCACACACATTCTGGCACTACTCTTTTTTTAAATTTTAGAAAAAGTAATTATTAGTCCACTAGTCTCAATTATTAAAACTTATAGCGTGAATAACGATAAATAATCATAAAAAAGAGCTAGTTTTCACACACATTCTGGCACTACTCTTTTTTTAAATTTTAGAAAAAGTAATTATTAGTCCACTAGTCTCAATTATTAAAACTTATAGCGTCGAATAACGATAAATAATCATAAAAAAGAGCTAGTTTTCACACACATTCTGGCACTACTCTTTTTTTAAATTTTAGAAAAAGTAATTATTAGTCCACTAGTCTCAATTATTAGAACTTATAGCGTCGAATAACGATAAATAATCATAAAAAAGAGCTAGTTTTCACACACATTCTGGCACTACTCTTTTTTTAAATTTTAGAAAAAGTAATTATTAGTCCACTAGTCTCAATTATTAAAACTTATAGCGTCGAATAACGATAAATAATCATAAAAAAGAGCTAGTTTTCACACACATTCTGGCACTAATCTTTTTTTAAATTTTAGAAAAAATAATTATTAGTCCACTAGTCTCAATTATTAAAACTTATGGCGTCGAATAACAATAAATAATCATAAAAAAGAGCTAGTTTTCACACACATTCTGGCACTAATCTTTTTTTAAATTTTAGAAAAAGTAATTATTAGTCCACTAGTCTCAATTATTAAAACTTATGGCGTCGAATAACAATAAATAATCATAAAAAAGAACTAGTTTTCACACACATTCTGGCACTACTCTTTTTTTAAATTTTAGAAAAAGTAATTATTAGTCCACTAGTCTCAATTATTAAAACTTATGGCGTCGAATAACGATAAATAATCATAAAAAAGAGCTAGTTTTCACACACATTCTGGCACTACTCTTTTTTTAAATTTTAGAAAAAGTAATTATTAGTCCACTAGTCTCAATTATTAAAACTTATAGCGTCGAATAACGATAAATAATCATAAAAAAGAGCTAGTTTTCACACACATTCTGGCACTACTCTTTTTTTAAATATTAGAAAAAGTAATTATTAGTCCACTAGTCTCAATTATTAAAACTTATGGCGTCGAATAACGATAAATAATCCTAAAAAAGAGCTAGTTTTCACACACATTCTGGCACTAATCTTTTTTTAAATTTTAGAAAAAGTAATTATTAGTCCACTAGTCTCAATTATTAAAACTTATAGCGTCGAATAACGATAAATAATCATAAAAAAGAGCTAGTTTTCACACACATTCTGGCACTACTCTTTTTTTAAATTTTAGAAAAAGTAATTATTAGTCCACTAGTCTCAATTATTAAAACTTATAGCGTCGAATAACGATAAATAATCATAAAAAAGAGCTAGTTTTCACACACATTCTGGCACTACTCTTTTTTTAAATTTTAGAAAAAGTAATTATTAGTCCACTAGTCTCAATTATTAAAACTTATAGCGTCGAATAACGATAAATAATCATAAAAAAGAGCTAGTTTTCACACACATTCTGGCACTACTCTTTTTTTAAATTTTAGAAAAAGTAATTATTAGTCCACTAGTCTCAATTATTAAAACTTATAGCGTCGAATAACGATAAATAATCATAAAAAAGAGCTAGTTTTCACACACATTCTGGCACTACTCTTTTTTTAAATTTTAGAAAAAGTAATTATTAGTCCACTAGTCTCAATTATTAAAACTTATAGCGTGAATAACGATAAATAATCATAAAAAAGAGCTAGTTTTCACACACATTCTGGCACTACTCTTTTTTTAAATTTTAGAAAAAGTAATTATTAGTCCACTAGTCTCAATTATTAAAACTTATAGCGTCGAATAACGATAAATAATCATAAAAAAGAGCTAGTTTTCACACACATTCTGGCACTACTCTTTTTTTAAATTTTAGAAAAAGTAATTATTAGTCCACTAGTCTCAATTATTAGAACTTATAGCGTCGAATAACGATAAATAATCATAAAAAAGAGCTAGTTTTCACACACATTCTGGCACTACTCTTTTTTTAAATTTTAGAAAAAGTAATTATTAGTCCACTAGTCTCAATTATTAAAACTTATAGCGTCGAATAACGATAAATAATCATAAAAAAGAGCTAGTTTTCACACACATTCTGGCACTACTCTTTTTTTAAATTTTAGAAAAAGTAATTATTAGTCCACTAGTCTCAATTATTAAAACTTATAGCGTCGAATAACGATAAATAATCATAAAAAAGAGCTAGTTTTCACACACATTCTGGCACTACTCTTTATTTAAATTTTAGAAAAAGTAATTATTAGTCCACTAGTCTCAATTATTAAAACTTATAGCGTGAATAACGATAAATAATCATAAAAAAGAGCTAGTTTTCACACACATTCTGGCACTACTCTTTTTTTAAATTTTAGAAAAAGTAATTATTAGTCCACTAGTCTCAATTATTAAAACTTATAGCGTCGAATAACGATAAATAATCATAAAAAAGAGCTAGTTTTCACACACATTCTGGCACTACTCTTTTTTTAAATTTTAGAAAAAGTAATTATTAGTCCACTAGTCTCAATTATTAAAACTTATAGCGTCGAATAACGATAAATTGTTGTGGTGTGGTGGCTACTATAAAAGCCTCACATAATTGTCAGTCCGTGTCTCCTAATTGTCTCCTAAATATTACCCCAACCTTATTCTATTACTTCAATATTATTGTATTTCTTTGTGTGCGATAAACACATTATTGTATTGCTTATTTCTTGTTGTGCAGAGACACAACAAATTTGGCGCGGTCGTAAACAAATTCAATTGTAAATTGTATTGAAGAAAACAAATCAGGTTAGTGGCATTGTTATTGTTCATTGAAAAAATATTGTATTGATTCTTCAGAATGAAAGCGGAAGACATTCAAAAACTCCTTGAACAACAACAAATGAAATTCAATCAACAGCAAAAAGAACTTCAGGAACACCAAAACCAACAATTGTTACTGCAGCAAAAACAGATTGCGGAATTGTTGAGTAAATTGGGCAATAGGCCAAATATTGAAAGTGCTACAACGCTTCAACAAGAAGGATCGGCACAATACGGTAAATTGCATAAATTGATTTCTGAGTTCCATTGTGATATTCCACGGGCATTCACGTTCGAAACGTGGTATGATAAGTACAAATCGTATTTTGAAATTGAGGGGGCCACATTGAGTGAGGAATTGAAAGCTAGATTGCTTATTTCGAAATTGGGTGGCCCCGAATATTTTAAAATTGCCCAAAAATTATTGCCACGAAAATTATCAGACCTGAAATATGGGGAATTGTTAAGTGAATTGAAAGAGGAGTTTAGGGACCCGAGGTCCAAATTGCTAAAGCGTTTCGATACGCTGAAATTGAAATGTAATGAATATGAAAATATATTGCAATTTGGGAATCTCGTAAATGCCGAATGCGAAAAGTCAGAAATGAATTTGACTATTGAAGAAATGAAAATATTGATTTTTATTGTAGGGCTTCCTGACTCTGCAATTGATTTAAAACAAAATTGTATTCGGCTGATAGAAAATAAATCAAAGAAAAAAGAAGATTGTAATTTCAAGGAATTATTGGAAGATTGTCGAGGATTCTTGTCTACGAAAAAAGAAGTCAAATTGTTGTCTGAACCTAAACAGGTCAGTAAAATTGAATTGGGTTCACCACCGGAAATAAATATTATTCAGGAACCCAAATTGCAACAACAAAGTATTGAAAAATCGAAAAGTATTGAAAACAAGAATCGCTATTATCCACCATTAAAAAGGCCATATTGTAAGCATTGCAAAAAGAAGGACATTGGATTGAAAATTGCTATTTTGCTGGTAAGCGTAAATTCTCACCTAGAGTGAATAATTTGAAAATTGGTTTAGACAAAAGCAATGATGGTCCTTATTGTATATTGTTGGATATTGAAGACAATGAAGTGTTGCAAAAACAAAATTGGATTGTTCAAAAATTGAAAATAAATGGAAATTCATTGAACATGATCATTGATACGGCTGCGCAAATCTCAATTATTTCAAAGGAAACGTGGTCACAGATTGGTGAACCAAAATTGGAGGAAGTTTCCTATAATGGAATTGCGATGGGCCAAGCAAAATTTAAAATTGAAGGGAAATTTGCAGCACACATTGATTGTAATAATAAGGAAGAAGAATTAGATTGCCATGTTGTGGAAGGCAAATTGAATTTAATTGGATTACCTTGGCTTAAAAGATTGAATTTATTGAAAAATATTGTTAATGTTCCAGAAATTGAAAAGGAAAGGAAGAAAATTGTATGGAACAAACAAAAGCCAATGTCAAAACCAATTGTAAAGAAAAAACTCTGGAAAGGCAAAAATGTAATTGTGAAGAACAAGAACAAAAGAACCAACAAAATTGAATGGTTAAAAGGCGAAATTGTAGGAAAAGTTGGTCAATTGTTTAGAGTTCAAGTTCATTGCCTGAAGAGTGTAATTCTGCGAAAAATTGAAGACATTAAAGAAGATTATCAACAACCAAGAATTGAATCAAAGAAGTGCTACGCTGTCAAACGTTCAGATGCGAGGCTGTACAATGAAGGCGCAACACCGAAAAAGAAAACAAAGATCTGGTCCGAGGAATCTGAAGATATGATGAAAAGCTGCTCTGAGGGTTCAATAATTTCTGAGGGTTTGGTAAATTCTGAGGGATCAAATATTGCTGAGGGATAGATGAAGTAAAGTAAAATAAATAGATAAAATATATTCTTTTGTTTGTAAAATTTTTGTTTGTTCCCTTATACCCTCATTTTTTTGTATGTATTTTGTTGACCGGACTTTTGTTATTGCTTGTATGTTTTGTATTGGTGTTGTAACCCCAGCCTTGCAAAGGGGGAGGTGTTGTGGTGTGGTGGCTACTATAAAAGCCTCACATAATTGTCAGTCCGTGTCTCCTAATTGTCTCCTAAATATTACCCCAACCTTATTCTATTACTTCAATATTATTGTATTTCTTTGTGTGCGATAAACACATTATTGTATTGCTTATCATAAAAAAGAGCTAGTTTTCACACACATTCTGGCACTACTCTTTTTTTAAATTTTAGAAAAAGTAATTATTAGTCCACTAGTCTCAATTATTAAAACTTATAGCGTCGAATAACGATAAATAATCATAAAAAAGAGCTAGTTTTCACACACATTCTGGCACTACTCTTTATTTAAATTTTAGAAAAAGTAATTATTAGTCCACTAGTCTCAATTATTAAAACTTATGGCGTCGAATAACGATAAATAATCCTAAAAAAGAGCTAGTTTTCACACACATTCTGGCACTAATCTTTTTTTAAATTTTAGAAAAAGTAATTATTAGTCCACTAGTCTCAATTATTAAAACTTATAGCGTCGAATAACGATAAATAATCATAAAAAAGAGCTAGTTTTCACACACATTCTGGCACTACTCTTTTTTTAAATTTTAAAAAAAGTAATTATTAGTCCACTAGTCTCAATTATTAAAACTTATGGCGTCGAATAACGATAAATAATCATAAAAAAGAGCTAGTTTTCGCACACATTCTGGCACTATCTTTATTTAAATTTTAGAAAAAGTAATTATTAGTCCACTAGTCTCAATTATTAAAACTTATAGCGTGAATAACGATAAATAATCATAAAAAAGAGCTAGTTTTCACACACATTCTGGCACTACTCTTTTTTTAAATTTTAGAAAAAGTAATTATTAGTCCACTAGTCTCAATTATTAAAACTTATGGCGTCGAATAACGATAAATAATCATAAAAAAAAGCTAGTTTTCACACACATTCTGGCACTACTCTTTTTTAAATTTTAGATAAAGTAATTATTAGTCCAATCGTCTCAATTATTAAAACTTATGGCGTCGAATAACGATAAATAATCATAAAAAAGAGCTAGTTTTCACACACATTCTGGCACTACTCTTTTTTTTTATTTTAGAAAATGTAATTATTAGTCCACTAGTCTCAATTATTAAAACTTATGGCGTCGAATAACGATAAATAATCATAAAAAAGAGCTAGTTTTCACACACATTCTGGCACTACTCTTTTTTTTTATTTTAGAAAATGTAATTATTAGTCCACTAGTAATTACATATAATAATGTAAAACATATAAACATTATTAATATAAAAATAATGTAAAACATAATCTCGGACATAACAATTTTCCAAGTACTAATATTTCCATACGAAGGAAATTTTTAATTTTAAGACAGACAAACTTAAATTTTTAAATTAACATTTTAGAGCTGCAAAAAATTAAAAGTATAATAAATGTAGATTTATCAGACAAATTTTTAGAATGAAAAAATCAGCTAAATCTAATTTTTGTGTTACTTTTTTTGCAAATTTTTCTAAATACTTTCTTTTTTCTCGCTAATTACATATCTCCCAGTTGTTTTTCTTCATAATCAATGTTTTTGTTTAGCTTTCCCTTTACGATCTCCGCTTGGGGTTGATTGTTGATCTTGATTGGTTGAAGCAGTTCCTTCGCCTTATTTTATTTTAATTAGCTTTTAACATGAGACATTAAGATTAGTAAATTAAGAAATGATAAATATTATGCCGTTGATAAAAACAGCACGATATAGGAATATGAAAATAGTGGTCAGCCGGCAATTAAAGCGTAGTATGAATTTGAATAGAGAAAATTATTCTAAGATAATCTACCTCGAATTTGAAAGCCCGGCTGCTGTTGCCCTTGATTTAAAGAAGCATTAGTCGCAAGTTGAATATGATAAAGCTCTTCTGGTGTTACTTAATAAAATTTATTTTATATCAGTGATGAAAATAAATAAATATTATATAGTACAATTAAAAACAGGTATATGGTACAGAGATTCAGTTAAGATATAATATTCTGTTAAGGCAGAAAATTGGCTGGTAAAACGTACAAAGATTTAGTCAAATATTAGATGGGAACGGTTTGTTTTTTCAAAAACTTACTCTCTTCATGATGACTTCCTTGACTGTAACGTTGACTACCTTGGGGAAAAGTCTGAGTTCCCGGATCAATATAATTAATTCTTGAATCAAAATACTGACTTCCTCGAGCAGTTTGACTTGCTGAATTAGTATAGTGATTATCTGTATCAGCATAATGCCTACCTAAATCATGAATAATACATTCTTCCATATAACGGTGACTCGCTTGAACATCTTAATTTTTATGTTTAATATATCTTAAGCATAAAAAATATTTTTACATTGATGTTGAGGAATCAATATATGGTTATCAATGCTATCCTCGTTAAAAGCAGTGAACTAAAAATTCAAATATCTTATTTAAACATGTCTCACATTTTTATTAAAGATTAAATTGCAAAATCGAACATAAAATATTAGATATATTATTTTAGCAAACATACTTGGGTACCACACAAATTACAAGAACAGATACATAAATTTAGAGCAGAATTTATGATGACGATTTTATCCGAACAACCAAGATCATTTATTCTTTGTATTATTTTTTCTTTAAATGAGACGTCTGACTTTTTTGAAAATATCATAGAAAATTCGGAACGCCCAGTTGAGTCCCTTTTGTTGAGTCCTGCTGATTGAGTAATCTCGTTAGGTGGAACAACTGTCCCAGTCGTTGGAACAATTATATTTATTGTTGGACCAACCTTACTCAGTAATGGAACAGTTTTGCTCAATGTTGGAACAAACCTCCCCGTAGTTGCTAGTTGAAACAACTTTTCCCGTCTTTGTTAAGTTGTTCCATTAACAAGAAAACTCAACCAGAGGGAATCAACCGGCCATGGACCCTTTGAACCCCCGCTATAATAAATTAGTTTAATACTTATTAAATTAAATAGAAACTTCGGTTTAAATAAAAAATTAATATAAAATTCCATGTAGTATCATTTGGAGAAGCTCAAAATGATTAAAAATCAATTAAATTTAAGCAATTTATTGCTTTTGGTAATAATCTTTTGATGCTTTCTATTTGGGTCAACTGCCTTACTAAATTATAAACATTTAAAATGACCTTTTGTGGTTACTGACACGGGTGGTTGTTTTTTTGTTGTTTAGTTTGAGTTTCCTTGCTTGTGATATTTTCATCCTCTAAATTTTTAAAATTAAATTTTGAATGAATAAAAATTTTAAACTGATTGCATTTTGATGATTGTCTGAATTAATATGTTGTTGAATACAATTTTCAACTCCCTCAGCATCGTTTACAATAAACTAAAATACAATGAACGATAACAACAATATTCTCAAATGAATATTGTTGTTATGGGCGAGATCCAAAAATGAATTAGTATTTAAGCCAGCCAAAAAATCCTCACTCTTTAATCTTCTCGTCTGACTCGGTTTTACTATATATATAATTACTAGGGATGTATACATGAAGTACCGATACTACTAAAACGAGCGGTCTCTAAGGTGACACAAACAAAAACATGCCTTAAATTTATTTGAGTTAATTTTGCTTTAATATTGTCCCTTGCTTTATTCACATTTTCCCTATTACTTATTTGATGATATTAAAAGATAAAATATTTTCAAATTAGACTTTATAAACTTTATAATAAGCTTACCTGAAAGTCATACTTATGTTTTTGACACAAATGACAGTATCCGCGAAGATGTCTACGTGTAAGATATTTAAAGCTGATTTGTTTTGTTGTATAACCAAGTTTTTTTACTAATTTTTCAGCCCTTTCCTTTTGTGACCTTAGCTTCGGTTTTTTATCTTTAATATGAAAAATTAATGCTGATAAATTTAATTTTATTACAAAAGTTTACCCTTTGAATCAGGTTGACTCTTTAGAGGAGCTTCCCCACCTTGTTCAGATGGTTGAACTTCTTGGTGAATTTCTTAATTGTTTACAAGATAAATAATTAGGTACTTTAGTGATTGGTAGTAACAGATCCCGTCCCTATTTGAGGCTCAAATTAATTTTTCTTTTATTTGTTTCTGTGTCGGGATGGTCAATTATTATATAAATGTTGATTTCTGCCTTTAGGCTTTTTCGGAATTTCGATTTTTTCAAATTTTTGAAAAAATTTAATTTTTGACGCTAAAATGGATAAATTATGGCTTCGCAGCCTTCAAATATTCTAAAAATTTATACCTTCAATCCATTGATTCAAATCGTCTTCTCCAACAAATGGTGTTGCCGGCTGATCATGTTGATCCCAAAAACTCTGTGGAGTAAAGGGCGATGGTGAAAATAATGACTGATAATTTATTGAAGTATAATCGGCTTGACCACTTGGATTGCTGTGTTCTGATACAGAACCTCCTGGTCCTAAACCTAAAATTAATCATAAGTATCACTTTGATAAATTGTCTATTCATGTGTATAAATATTGCGGATCTAAGCTACTCGGTTCATGAAAATATAGAATTGTCTATACAATGTTTACCAAAATCCGTCATCACGACATGGTTACCTCTCCCCACCCCTTCACCCATTTTTCCAAACAATAACGAATTAGTAAAAGGGGGAAAGAACCGTATGGAGTGAAGGAACCTAAACTTTGTTGTTGTTAAGTGTAGTCTGGTAGATTAAAATGCGGGAAAGAAGAACCAAAACTTGTCGGAGGCTGTTGTTCTTGTTGATTATGAAAGGGATGACTGCCAAAAATCTCATCCAATCCGAAAAAATTTGTTTGATGCTCTCCCTGCGGACTAGGCATTCCTGTACTTGTAGTAGCGTCTGGATTGCTTGTTCCTGTCCCCGTCCCGGTGTCGCTTCCCGACACACTTCGGCGTTTATTTGGATTATCATCTAAACTAGCTATTGTGTGTTTCTTTGGAGGACATACAATCCTTATTATGAATAAAGAAATTAAATAAATAATTAAGAGCTTCATTGCTCTCCTGGAAAATAATAATTCTTGTTATTTAAACTTTATTAGAAAATATTTTATTAAACAAGAATTAAAATAAATTAAGAAAAATATTTCAATGGCTAAGTTGGGACCCTAATACATACATATATGTATATATTTATTAAATAAATTTTTAAATAAATTTTTTTCTTTAAGTTTTAAAATTATTGAATTTTTTTTTATTTGACGGAAATTGACTGAGTAAAATAGGGAGGGAGGGAGAGGTGAAAGGAGGGAGAGGTGAAGGGAGGGAGAAGGGACTTCCACCATTTAGAGATGCTGGAAAATTAAAAATCAAATTTTCTAATAGCTATAGCCTCTTTCATAATGTCAAACAGCAATAATTAATGCTTATACAATTGATTTTATAAATTAAAATTTAAAAAGAGAGTGAAGGGATATAGTAGGCGAGAGGAAAAGATGGAGTGTAGGTTGGAAATATGTTGGGAATATTCATCTATGTTGGGAAACATCATTTTTTCGTCAGAGGTAATTTTTGTCAATTCTCTTTCAGAGCATATAAGCCTGATTCCGTTATTGGACATTTTTCTTGAAGAATCATCGTTCGCAAAATTTCAACTACTCACAAAGTTAAAAAATACACTGCCCAAAAATCTTTAAAAAATCTTGTCACCCTGTAGTTGTGGAACAAGTTGATCTGATTGATCTGACATTCCGGTACCGATTTTAAATTCTGTCGGAGTAGTACATTCGAATCTCACTAAAAACAACTCTTGTCATTTATTCGATACCCCCCGTAGCCTCCATTGAGGTTTACTATTTATAATTTTGTTCAGAATCATCAAATCGAGCAGATTTTGGTGCCATTCGATCTGATTTTGTGGTATTAAAAGGGCATATACTTCAGAAGAATGATTATCAAAAAAGGAAAGATTCAAAAAACTTTATGTGATCTACATTGTTTAACTCTAAAATCACCCGATTTACCCCAAATTCATGTTAATTATCATTTTTTGAAAGAATCTTTAATAGTTATATGTATATTCATCTCAAACAAAAAATTGACAGAAAATTTATAAAATTTATTGAAAATAGTCTAATTTTAATAAAAATCTTCAACAAATCTAAAAAGTCCAAAAAGCCGAATAAACCTACTTTAGTCGAATAAACCAACTCTATAAAATAATAAATAAAGGGAAAAACTTGGTTAAAAATGATTTTAGTTTAAAATGCCATTAGATTTTTAAAAGGAAAGATTATTGAGATTTTAATTTTATATAATTCATTTTCATTGAAAGGATTCGAACCTTTTGCATTTTTCGTTGTTACTAACCAATTAAACCATAATCCCGCACTGAAACCCTGGTTGCACTCTGGCTATTTTAGGTTGTTGTGTATGGTCTAAACCAAACTATTACCCGAACGTTACCGTACAATCGACATATTTTTCGGTATTTATCGATATTTAGTATCAGTAGTACGGTTTCGGCAGTACAGTAGATTTTGAAGTTCATCAGTAATTTTGGCTATTACTGTACGGAAACCTATATACTAATTATTAGAATATGTTTTTCAATATGAACAGAATAAAAAAATACATAAATTTATGAATACGGCAAAATTTATACTTATTAAATGATCAACTAAATCAATTATCTAATCAAACCAAAAACTTTTTCTAAAATAAATTTTTATCAGAGAAAATAGGTCATTTAAATTTCAGTTAATTTTTTGTAATCTTTTTAGTCCATCACTGTAAATTGAATATATGCAATAATAATATGGCAATTAAAATTGTTGTTTGCTCTCCTGTTTGCTCTCTCAAATGAGTTACATTCAAAAAAGGAAGCCAAGTATTTTTGGCATATTTCGTTTATTTTTTATCTTCTATATTACGCAAATAAAGGATATCTCTATAATATAGGGTTTTGCCAAGAAGAAATGGCAAAAATTTAGATAAACAAGCCATTCTCCATTTTTACTTTTTTTCCTCTATTAATTCTTTTTAAAAGCAATTTTTTTATTTAGATTTTATTTTTATATGTATATATTTTTTGATATAATTTTGAAAAATTTTTGTTGAAAAATAAATTTACTAGAAATTTTCGCGTAAAGTACCCCATTTTTGAGCGAAAAAGGGACTCATTCTCTCTAATAGGCATTTTTTATTTGGTTTTTCTTGTTATTTCAATCAGGCATCTTTTAAATTTTATAAGTTTTAAGTACTTTATTATGTAAATCACTCTCCTCTATCTATTTATATAAAGATTGGAGGGATTAAAAGGATATCGGTGGATTAAGAGGGATATTGGTGGATATTATTCTCGATCTCGATAACCGAGATATTCTATCGAGATCTCGTCTCGGTCGTTCTCTAAGCTTTAACATAAAATTCCAAGCTCTTCTATGCAGGAATTTTAACTGCTCCATTATTAATAATAAAATCAACCTTAAATGTTACTCCCAAAGATCCTTTGATATCTCTATTAATCCTCATAAAGCCATCGATAACCTTGTTAATCTCCTAAATAATTTCTTATGGCCAATCTTACTTATAAATATTTGCCATTTTAATATTTTTAAAATTTAAAAAATTAAGAAATCAAGGCAAAAATTATAATCGATTTTTACTTGACTCTAGGCCAAAAATCCGGTCAATGTCCCCATCAAAAATCAAGTCTCAAGGTTAGAGTTGTTTTTAAATTTCCTATCATTATTTACATAATTTTATTTTGATGCTAAAATTCTTTATAAAATTTAAAATTTCATTTTAGCTAAAAATTATAACATTTTTAAATTAAGTAATTTTAACTTATGAGTGACTTATAAATTATAAAATTTATCCGATCAAAAGAGAAAAAATTAAACTTTCAAAATCTTTTTTAATTTTGAAAATCGGCTCAGAATTGTCCGAGTAATATCCAAACTTTTAAAAAAGTTTTGTTTTATTTAAAATTGTCTAATTTTGGGAGATATTCCAAGAAGAGGGTTGTAGTTTAGTTTACCCGCAGCTGCGGGTAATCATCGTGTTCTGGGTTTATTTTCTGGAATAAAGGTTACCCCTCAGCTCGGATTCTATTACCCGAGTCAAAGAACCTGGTAAATTTACCAGGTACTCTTACCTCATTTTTAACATACCGTCCCAAGGATTGGAAGAGATAAGGAAGAACAAGATTTTCCTTTTTAAGCGCCGCAGGCGAAGTTTTGAGAATTTTTGAAGACTAAGTCACCAGATTTCTTCCTTTTTCAGCGCCAATAATTAATAAAAACTCCCGATTTTTTCCTGATTTTCAAAAAAAATGTCGTGAATCGGGAAGGTGAATTCACGAAAATTTCGAATTCCCAATTTTTGTGAATCGTGAATTTGCGAGCCAAAAATCGTCGGGAATTCACGAATTTCGGGAATCGTGAAACGGGTCGGCGCGATCCCTGTTGCACACGTACTTTCGCATAAATAATTTAATTCATGATTAAATTATAAAGTGGATATTCAGCGCATATTAACTGTTTAATATTTAATCGTTTTCTATTTCATTTCATTTAATTTTTATATTTCTAGAAGAAAACTGCTAGATATGCCCTTCAATTTGCTAATGAAATTGAATTGCTTAGGCAATACTGGGGATTACCAATTAAGCTTAATCATATTATTGATTTAAATGCCAGAAGATTAGAAAACTGGCCAATTTATACAGTGTGGCATAAAATAATTTGTGATTTTTTGTGGTAAGTTTAATATTTAAAATTGAAATTGAAGTCGGTCAATAAGCAATATCTTGCCCAGTGTTATTCAAATGCGCTTTTCGGGTACCGGATCGGTATTTTCGGTAAATATAGAACAAGAAGAAATACCGATTTTTTGCAAAATCGACCGGTAAAATCGACCGGTATTTTACCAGTAAAATACCGATACCAAAAAATAGCGCGGTATTTTCGGTTTTTTTGAAAACTCAAATGATCAAATTTATTACATGTTATAGATATGAAAACGAGTGAGAGACAAAACGTGGTTTTTCGTTTTGCGTTATTATTGTTACACGATACTAGTTAACTTTGAAATTATCAAATCGTATTGAATATTTTATTTTTTCAGTCTTATACTCTAATTGATGGAAGCACAATACAGCACGAATTGAGGAAATATATGTTATTGTGGATGAAGCTAACAACTGAAAATTATGATTCAGATGATAATAAAAATGTGAAATTCATCACTAAAGCAAAAAAAGATTCTATAATAAATTATAGAATTTCGGCGGGCCTGAACGACTATTATAAAAAATATATATTATTACAACAATTTGTACATGCATCAAAATATTCTAAATTAGCACAGTGGAATAAGAATTTTATCGGAATTAATTTAACTTCGAAAGTGGATATTGTTCTGAGGTGTGCAAAACAAATTGTAACAAAGGCAGCTGATATGAAAAGAAGTGCTAATTCTGTTGTCAGTTTCTTGGCGGACACGATATATGACGAGAGTGAGTGTAATTATTTTTTTCAAATAAATATGTCGTTTCTTAAATAATTTATCTTTTTCCAAAAAATAAATTTTTCAAGAAAAACCGTAAATCGCAAATATAATCAAATAAATTAAAAATCCATAACCTAATTTCTGATGAACTATACACCCAATAGAGTTTCGGCAGTGGCATGTTTAAAAAATCTGGCAAAAATAGTTATCACTAAAAGCAAGCAATAATTAGAAACGAACTTTTTTATGAAACGACCATAAATATCGAATAAGGAATTTTAGATTCATACGAAATTGTATTGAGCCCAATCGCAATAGAACCATTTTACAAAAATTTTGTTACTGTCAATAGCAGTCAATTTTCACAAGATTATGACATTCAAAGAAATCATAAAAGATGTTTAAAAAATTTGAGAAATGATAAGTTCTGAGAGCAGCGATTAATTTACATATTTGTGGTAGATAAAGACACATTTTAATGATTATGAATATGAAGAATATACGCGAAAGCGACAGCTTGTTAATGATAGCATTTCTTCAGGAA